CATAATAATGTATCCAATAGAGCAAGGTGATAATAATCTATAGTACTAAAATATCAGTAGCTTTAATAACATATGTTAAATTCATAATTTAAAAATGTAGATTAAGATAGGAGCCTTTACTGTTAGGTACTGTGTTAATCACATATTGGGGATAACGAGACAAATATTCTTTTAAAAAAATATAAAAAGTAACATAAACTTTAATTTAACATATATTTTAAAGACACACTATTTCCAAAACCTTTTCAAACGTTAAGTTGAAAAAATTGACTTTTGTGAAAATGTTGCTATTTTGAATCCACCCCTGTGAGAGATAATGGGTTAGGTTTTGAAAAAAATTATATAAAATGAAAAGGAAATAACCAAGTTTCTAAATAAAAACAATTATTTTGATTTGTTCATTTTTCAATAAGTTTGACAATTTTTAGAAAAATAATGTCGAAATTTATCGATATTAAAAATCATAATTTTTTGGGGAATTTCCTTTGTTTATAGGGAACAAGGGAAATTTTTTCAATTTTAAAGGGCAATGTCTTCAGCTAGATTCAATTTATTATATTTTGACGTATCATTGAAAGAATTGGTTCAATGAAAACTGAGAAAAAATGGTAACAGACACAAAAAAAAAATTATATAAAAAAATAAAAAATACATCATGGTAAAATTAATAACTTCTCAGCTTTAAGGGAAAAAAAGTATTTCAAAATATTTATACTTGTATTTTAATATTTTTTTCTTAAAGTATTTAAATATGTATTATTTATCATTTTTGCTCGAATTATTTGAATGCATATTATCAATATATTTTTATATTATTATTTATATATTTCAACATAATTGATAGGAGGGTTCAGAGAAATAATTCAAAAGGATTAAAACTGTTTAGTAATTTAAAAGATTTTAGAAAATAAATAATTTCAATTTTTTTTAAATATTTTCAATTAAAGCACAAATTATATAAATATTTCATTTGAATATAATTTAAAGTCTAACTGATTTATGCAAATTTCGTATTAGTATATTTTACAACCGATAAGTAAATAAAAGGAAGTATCGTTAAAATATAATTATTATTCATGACATTATTTTAGTGCGTACTTTTTTGTATTTTATTAAGTTTTATACAACATGATTATTCCCTAAAGCCGTTTAAAAGGTTGCATAATATAAATATATTATGCGTTTGTTTTTATAAGCTGTGCATGACTATGATTCGTGTAAAAGTAAAAAAAAAACTCAACTTGAAGACATCAATTATATTTAAACCTCAACGAATTTCAGATAAATTATCACGATAAGTATTCAAATTAGATTTGACACAGAGACTTAAATTTTATTAACATGAAACACCTTTGTGATTTTTTCAGTTAGTTATTGTAAAAATAATTTAAAATACAACATCAAAATTATAATGGAAAAAAAATTAATAATAATAACTACTGCTAATTATGAAAACATTAAATTTTTTTAATGAAATCTTAAGATTAATCAATAGTTGGAAATCGAAAATTTGTTCTTTTTTTCGTGAAAAACTACATAATAAACTTTAAAAAAAATATTTACAGAAATGAAAATGGTAAAACCTTATTTAAAAATAAAATATTTTGAAAATATAAAATAATTAATAAAATATTAATTTAGGTAATCATCAATTGATTAACCTTCAATTAAATATTTTAAGAAAGTTAAATGACTATTTAAATAACAATAAAGAAAGTATTTCTATTTTAATAAAAGTTTATTAAAATTGTGAAATAACAAATAGAAAATTTTATTTTGATATTTATATTTAATATAGCTCAAGGTTTTTTTTTTTTGTTAAAATTTTTCAATAAATGAATCATACTTTCAGTTGATTAAAATCATTATTGCCAATATACTCAATACTTAATAGCATACAGAAGTATAATTATATTTTATTCAACAAATAGTGAAAATAGAATTATATATTTTTATAAATGAAAACGATTAAACATACAAAATATTCATAACTGTTCTATTAGATAAGAATAGTCATGTGCATTAGATATTGAAAAACAATTTTTTCATTTTCATAAATCACACCTTTAATAATTGTTTTAATGCTTATAAATATGAGTTATGCAAAATGATAAATAAAATTGTTATTAAAAAAAAAATAGCTTTAAAGTTATTGCTAAAAAATCACTGATAATAGGATTTAAGAATTTTAACTAAGCTTAAAGCATGAGTAAAACAGACAATAAGACAGAAAATTTTTTAGGGGTGCCACTTGTTAATAAAAAACAAATGTAAAAATATAATGACGAAATTAAAATAAAATGTTGAAGGGATTGACTGAATTTCACATCTCCTTTAAAATATTTTAATTAGAAAAACTTTAATTTTTATAATTTATAGGTAAGTTTAATCCGACGTAAACAATTAACGAAAAATGTATAAAAACATATAACTTCAAGTAAAATTAAACAAAACTTCCATATGTACTATTAACTAAAAACGAAACAAAAAAATAAACTTAACTAATCAAAAAATTAAATTATATTGACGATTCGTTACAACTTAAAAGGAACAATGACTTTGAAGAAATTTTAACCAACATTTCTCAACATACTGCAAAATGAAAAATATTATAAATTTATAACTTTTTAATTATTGATAACATAAAACGTTTAACGTAATACTATTTTAGTTTTAACTATCATAACATAAAAACAAAATAAATAATTTTGATTCCATCCATAAGTATGGTAAAAATATATACATATCTTTTTTCAATAAATTAAGTGGTTCATGAAAGAAGAATATAATATAGATAAATTATATATACAATATTTTTCTATGCTAGTTTTGTTATAAGTTATTACAGTTTTGAATATGAGCAATGATAATATGGGGTTGTTGTTGAAAGAATTAAATTATTTTTATTATTATGTTTTTATTTATTTCAAACACGAATGTTCATCATTGTTAGGACATCATGCACAAGTAGACAAACACCGTGTAGTTTTCAATGTTAAAAGTAATATTAACAAATCTAGTAACCACTAATATTTACCAAACATTTAATATTTAAAAGACTTTGCCACATGAGTTTTATTTCTATATAAAATATTGCATTATACTTAGTATACATGAGTGGTCATTTAAAGTTTAATATACAGAGTGATCAGTTAGACCAGGAAACAGGTTTCTTTTGTTCTCATTGTTTTTAACAATTTACCTTTTTCTTTATTTACTTTTATTTATTTATACACTCTGTATAATAGCTTATTTCTTTGTCTATTATAAAATAATAAGTTATCATATGTAGTTTCAAATATCTTAATATTAATACTTCCTAAATAATTTTATTTCATATTTGTACTCTAACCTTTAAAAATTTATTGCACTTGAAATATATATTTATGTATAACACAAATTTATAATAATTATTTTAATAAAATTATAAAAATTATGAAACAATAGCTCTTAAATATGCATATTGAACACATTCAATTTTTACATACATTTATTCATTAGAAGTAGAATATAAAAAAATTTATTTAATTTGAAAATTAACTAATTTTTAAGAATATTTCTACTTTTTATTATGTATCTTGCACTAAAATTCATTTTGCAGTGTGTAAATATTAAACTATTATATTTCTTTTCAAAAAAGTACGGTATAATTCAATCGTAACAAACAATAATTTTATTTAATGATATAACTTTCTTATATTTATTAAAAAAAGTGATATATTTTCTTGAACGAACTTATTTATGCATGAAATTAAATTTTTAATATTATTTTTTCAATATTTCTATAATTATGAATTTTTTCCAATATATTTTTCATTGATAGACAGATATTATAGCTAAAATAAATATCTTTTCTCTGCCTTTAATCCAACTACTGAGGCGGGTCACTATTATCCTAAACTTCCTCATGGCATGATCTCCAACATCATCTACGAACATTAGCCTTCCACACATCGTATAAAATAACATCCCTAAGTTTATTTTTTGGTCTTCCCCTACTTCTTCTTCCTTCAACATTCATTTCCATAATTGATTTCACAGCTTCCGTTCCTTTCTCCTCATAACATGACCAAACTATCTAAGTCTATTTTCTCTCGTCTTATCCACGATTGACAAGACACCTATACTCCCTTTTATATGTTCGTTCCTTATCATACCTTATCTAGTCACTCCACTCATCGATCTAAGTATTATTTGCTACACTCATTCTCTACTCTATTCTCTTGTCAACCGCACAACATTCTGAACCATACATCATAGTTGGTCTCTAAAGTCTTATAGATCTTACCTTTCAACTTCATTGAAATTTTCTTATCGCATAACACGCTTCACCCACTCTCACTAAATCCTGTATCTTGCATCCTCGTCAATACTACCGTGCTTTCTCATAGCTGATTCTAAATACTTAAAAATTTTCTACCTCTCATATCATGTCCTCTCTTATTGTCACTGATCGTCTCAATTCATCTATCCCGTGTCCTTTTTTGTCAAACTCGTACTCTATATACACTGTTCTACTAACTCCTACTTTTTCTTAATCCATTTCCTTCATTAGTTGATTTATACATTCCTAGCCTTTGAATAATTTTCTCCTATTAACACTATATCCTTGTATTTCTCAACTATATTCCTCCATCACTATAAAAAATAAGTAAGAGCCTAAAGCAGAACTTCTACTTTTACTCTAAAATCTTCTATTACTCCGTCCAGACTTTTTACCCTGTTACAAGTGCCATCACACATATCCTTTACTATAATAATGTACTTTTTTGGGACTCCTTTTATTATTAAATAGAAGTAATAGTATTTTATAAAAAAAATTATTTTTTCTATAGAAATAATAAAAATCATAGTGAAAAATAGCATTACAACGGAAACGGCTTAGACTATGTATTTTTTTTAAATAATGGTTTACTTAAATGAACATAATTTTATTTTAAATATTAAAATATGTAATGAACATTATTTTTATTTGCAAATAAATTATATTATTGTTTTAGGCCATGATGGAAAAATATTGCACTGTAGCTGCGGTAATGGCTTTTGCACTTATTCTGACCAAGATATTGTGTGATGCAGCCGAAAATGTCGATATGAATAATTTTCGTCAATTTTGTACTTGTCCAAAACCATCATCGGATATAAAAGAATTGCAATGTACATGTAATGACAATCAACTTGAAAAAATCCCAAGAAATCTTCCTTCATTTTTACAACAATTGTATATAAGCTGATTATTAATTAATACGAGTTGTTATACTAAGTACTTGTTTTAATTATAGGACAATCATAGATGCAGCCATTGAAAATTTGGACAAGAATTCGTTTTCTATGTATAAGCAAAGCCTTACAGATATGTGAGTTAAATTTTATAATATTTGATGTATAATTGTTTAAATTGAAAGTATAACAAATATTTCATCTCGATATATCAGAGTTAGAAAACATAAATAATATATTTTTTTAAATAACTATTAAATTTTTTTATTTCCTTATACATTGTATATTCCGAAAATATAAATATAAAAATATTTTCAACCCCCTTGGGGCACGTATTAGAGTTGACCAATCGTCACCAAATTTTGTACAATTTATTTTTTCATGTATTTGTATAATTCTAGGGGGTGGCACTTTGTAATTTTTACATTTTATAAATAAGGGACACCCTAATATATATACATGCATTAGTTACTGACTATTTTTTTTCTTCACTCCCAACTCAAAATATTATTGGAAATATCAAAAAAAAATTTCCTGAAAATTTGAGTCCTTAATTTTAATACTGATAGTAATTTTCCAGAGCAGGTAAAGATTTTCCATTTAAAATACACGTAAATTTGGGTTTTTATTTTGTTAATTTCTATGATTCTGTGGCATTTTGTGCTACCACGTGATGCAAAGTCGCGATTTTGCCGGGGGTAGACTTTTTACAAAAGTAACCAATGCAGCGTAACAGCCTCATATCGACGAGTAATATAGTACCCTGAACCTAATTTTTGCATAAAATTTCCATTTTTTGGCATTATTTCATAAATCTTGATTTATTGACAAAATATAAACTTGAAGAAAATTTAATTACCAACAAAAAAGTCCGTATTACAATAAGCTAAAATTAATATTTCTCAAGATATTCAATTTTAAAATTTCAAAGTTTGTGTGTGATCAAATCAAATTTTATCAGTATTAGTTACTTACATAAAAATGTGACTTCATTACAGAATATTAATGAAATGCAAAAACTTGAAAACTATAGAAGATGGCGTCTTTGACGACATGCCTCATTTGCGAGCAATGTAAGTTGAGCTTAAAAACAATAACAATCATTAAGATATATTTTAACGTTTATGATAATAAAAAATATTGAAAATACTCTGTTGATATCACATTTTTTTTCGTAAAATGTCTTAGTTCATAAATATAAATGTGTTTTTATGTAATTAGTTACGAAAATCAAAAAATCTTATCATATTTAGTAAGATAATACTTTAATAAATTACATTATAACCCAAAATGTGTTTCAAATTTTACACATATATGTGGTCTATGAACAAATAAGGGAATTAACTTTTGCAAACCATCTTAAAAGTTTTGAAATAACTTTAAAACTTTGACAAGTAAAAAAAATTACTTGCATTATTTGTTCAATAAGTACACGAATGTCGAATTTTGTCCACGCCAGTTCTCTTTGAACATAAGCTAGAGCACGTACAGTAACTACAAGTACTGGTCTATAACTATTACAATTCTTATTCCTAATACCACTAACAAATTTTTGGCACGCACTTTGTCAATCCCTCGAGGGTGGTGGTAAGCAAAAAAGTCATTTTGATACAGTTTTCTTTATTGTCTAAGTGGTATGATTTTTTCGTAGAATTTTATTTGATTGTGTAAAAAAAACTGATCTTTAAAGTTAACCTCAAAATTGAACCTTTCTAAGTATAATAATCAAAAAGCTGTTTGATTTATTCAGATAATTTTTTCTTAAAATTTTAATTAAGAATTTATACATATATAAAGAATTATTTTCAAATCATAAAATAATTCTCAATACATAGAATCTATGTATCTATGTATCATAGAATCTTGTATCTAAGATACAAGTAAAATATACCTATTATAGATTTATTCTATTCGTATCTTCTCTATCCACGATCTTGATGGAGTAATACTGTTTTCTTTAGTTAGTATTATTTTTTTAATGCAAAATTTTAATTATCATTAATATACAAATTACAAAATAAAATGAAAAGCATTTTCTTTAAAATTTCTTAAACATAGTTTGTATGCATAGAGTATACAAAGTGATAGGTATATCATAAACTACTCGATGACTTGCAAAATAAGTACAATATTGTAAAATAAATTTTGATTTCTTTTAGTTACATTTATTATTGGATTAATCAGCTATTAATTACTTTCTATAATCATCCTTTATAACTTGAAGGGGTGTCAACTTTAAATTTTTAAATGGCAACATATTTATATAGTTTACAAAATATGAAAAATCTAATTAAAAAAATAACTTGTCGACAACAAATTTTGGATTAATATTTCAGAAGTTATTAACAAATTAAAGTAAAGACTGGATGTGAGGAGTAGGTACTGCAATTTTTATCACTAGGCATTTCCCTGTCGTACTTTTCATCTCGTCTAGGTATAAAAATGAGAATAACTTCCGAAGAACTGATCTCAATATTGCTATGAACCTGTCATTTTCTTAACTAGATAATTTTCTGTTTAATAAGTTAATTAGACATGTATGGTAACATTTAAAGAAATGAAGTTGTCACCCTATACATTGTAAGGAATGATCTTAAAAATTAATTATAAGTTGATAAATAAAGAAATGTATATAACTAAAAAATAAATTGAATTATTTTTCAATTATATATTTATTTTGAGAGTATTCAAGTGGGTTATGATAAATCGATTACCCTGTATATTATTATGTCTCGAATCGTAGATAATTATCGGTGCGATAATTAAGACAATAAATCATAAGACAAAATGTATAGTTGAGACATGTAAGCCTATATCCATGTATTGTATATTGTTACTACAATAACTATACTAAGATAGTGGTTCAATTTATGTCGAACACGTATACTTTCCCATCAGGCACCCTAGTGAGTGATGATATATTAGAGAACAAAAGTAAAGAGTTTTTATTAATTGGTCTACGCAACAGGAAAAATTTCACATGCCATCTCGTAAACGTTCCAAGTATCACAATTATTATCCAATACTTATGATTTTTATAGTCGCGTATAAATTATTTTCATGTAGATTAGGCTTTAATAATATTGATAATAATATTTTTTTCAATTTATTTTCAGTTATATCAGTCACGCGCCGAACTTAAGGATGATTTCGCCGTCAGTGTTTAATGTTACACTGCCTAACTTAAAAATTGTGTAAGTATAAGTTCATTAAATTACTTAAATATTATCAAAATTATATAAAATTAAAATATAATAAAATGATAGTATTACTATAAAAAAATCTAATAACTATGGTATGATATTGTTTTATGTAATTTTCTATAAGATAAAATTCTTAAAATTATTTTAACTAACAATCAATTATAGAAGTATTTGAGTTTGAGCTGGAGACTATTTTTTACTAGATATTTTTATCGTAATATGACAAAAAAATTATATTTTATTTACATAATATTTAAAGAAAAAGAGTTCTGTCTTGTACTAAAACATTAAGAGCTAATTTCATTAGTAAAGTTTGATTTTTGTGCCATTTCTAAATTGTTAATTTTTATTACAAACCATTGAAAATTTGAATTTGTTTTTGTTATAAAGTCGTTATATTATCAATTTATATTAACAATTTGTTTTAACAACTATAACATTTGTTAAAGGTTCTTCTGAAGTGCTATGGTAAAGTATATTAGGTTGTCAAAATTTTGTCATTAAATTAAAATAATATTTAAAATAAAATCTTATTTAAGTGAAGTTAATTTTAAGTGTAATCTATTATCAACATTGTACTATTATAGCGATTAACACTTAGCTAAAAATGACCTCGTCGATTCAAAGCGTCTAAAGAAATTATCCCTATGCCATCAATTTTTATTAAGTAGAATTTGCAATCATTCATTTGAGGTCAATAACTAGTCGTAATAAAATCAAGTATTGGAGAAGGTAAGGAATAGGGTAACTGACATCAAATTGTAAGGAGGAAAGGTGGAGAAAATGATAAAGTCTCCGGGTAAATTATACAATTTGTCATTCATTCTGCTTAGTATTTGGACGACTTGATCTCGTGAAATTAATAAATTGTTTATCGTAAATAAAAATTTGTTTTGGATCAAAACTTGAGTATTTTAAATTAAGTCAAAGATTGATTTTGATGAATAACTGTTCAGGCCATTTTATACAAAATTTAATTAATAAACAATAATTTTTGAAAAATGACAGTTCACAATAAAAAAAGGTGATTAGACGCAATAAATATACATATTATAATACTACCTAAAATATATAAATCAGACTAGTATTAAAAGAAAATTTTTTTTTATCCTGAATCTAGTAAATTGGTATAATCCCAATATTTATTTTTATTTTTTGTCTAGCCTTGTCTTGTTTATGTTTTAGTCATCGAATAACCAAAAGCTTTGACGTCGAAATGATAATCGCAATATAAGTAGTTGTGATCATATCACAATAACAGCCCAACTCGTTTTATGGAATAATCGTACGCGATGCACTTCTATAGTGAAAACATTTACTTACACTGGGTCAAGATCATACAATCTATACTAGTGAAAGTGATAGTGACGTACTTTTTATGGATCAACAGTCAAAATCAAAAAATTATCACTGTGGACAGTGTCAGTCAATTTAATTGTGTCAAAATAGTGTTAAATTTCTTTGACTATATTAATTTTAAAATATTCACTAGTATTATATACGAAACATACACATAACATCGTTATATCACAACTAAAAAGATGGTTTTAGGGTCGAGCAAGAAATCACAGTCTTGTGCAAAACAATTTCGCGACGCTCTTAATATTTTTTATATAAAAAAAAAAATTTTATTATTATTATTAACTTCGTTCGTGCGGTTTTTTTACACACAAAATGTGTAGACTTTATGCATACGAACACTTTACACATTTTAAGCGCTGGTTATAAGTTTTACTCTGTTCAATTAACTTACATTAAGAAAAAAATGACATTAGGAAAATAAATTACTATACAAACTTTAAATTCAAATTTTCCTTAAAAGGTGTGATATTCAACCAAGAAATGTTTGTTTTTATTTTATATTACAAATATCAATGTACTTTTGAGTGTTATTGAATACATATATTATAATACATGCATTAGATATATAGGGTGGATATATATCACTATAACCCTTATAACTTTTGATTCAATATCTATTTTACTGTAATTTTTTTTAAACAATTTTTGTATTTATAAACTACGTTAAAAGCATATTTTTTATTATTTATTTGTAATAACAAATATTGATAAATAATTTTTCAAAATTTTAAGTAGCCGTTTTAGTTTTTAGTCTTAATTAAATAATTTGATGGGTCAATAACAACTTTAGAAAAATGTATACAATTGGTAAGTAGCGTGGTGGGTAGAAATCGTACTAGTGTATATTTATACTACATACTCCACCCACGTTACATACTTAATCATTGTACGAATGTGTTAAAGCTATCATGGATTGTTGTATTTTTATTTTATTTACAGATATGTATATCTGTGTCTTAAGTTTTATGTTAACGTTTCGAACTCGTTGCAGATTTCATTTTTGGAACAATAGTTTATAATAACACATATAGGTTATAATTATACTGAGTATAATTACAACCTGTCGTAACTATGACTCTGAAGAAAAATAACTAAAATACGTTGTTACTGACAACGTCAGTATTTTAGTTACTGTTTTCCATCTTATTAGTTATAAATTAACTTGTAAATGATTATACTGATTTTATTTTTAACAATTTCTATCACTTTTTATTTGAAATCTTTAATATAATTAAAAATTTTTGTATAGCAAAATGTGTAAAGGTTTTACAANATTGTAATATATTTTGTAGTTAAATTACTAAAATATTTAAAATTCCTAAGAAATGTATTTTTTTGTTACTTGATTTTTAACTTTGATGCTAAGCTGAGAAGGTATTGGTTTTACTAAGTTGTGTTTTTTTTTGTGTCTGTTACCACTTTTTCTCAGCTCTCACCGAACGGATTTCTTTCAACGATACGTCAAAAGATCACAAATAGTATCTAGTCGAAGACATTGCCGTTAAAAATTGAAAAAATTTCCCACGTTCCCCGTAAATGGGGGAAACCTCCAAAAAAATTACAAATTTAAAAATCGCTAATTTTCAAAATTTTTTCAATTTTTTTTACTAAAAACTACCGTAACTTTTTTAAAAATGAACATATCAATATAATTTTATTTTTTTATAGATGCTTGATGTCTTTACCTATCATTTGGTATATTTCATTTGTAAATTTGACCCTTTATCTGCCCACAGGGGGGGTTTTAAAATGACAACTTTTTCACAAAAAATTAATTTTCTCAACTTTACTTTTGAAAATGTTCCGGAAGGTCTGACACTTTTATATATATCTTAAATTAAAGCTTATGTAATATACTTTAATTTAAAAAAAAAAAATTGACCTCTGGACTTGTATTCATGGTGAAAACGGCTACCTAATGCTATTTTTGTGTGAAAATTCTTGATTTTATAATTTACATTTTTTACTTTAAAGTGCTATAACTTTTTGAAAAATATATGGATCAATACAATTTTTTATGAGAAATAATATTTTTTAATAATCTCTTTTTCATTTGACATACTCTATCTTAATCAGGATATTAATAAGAAACTAGCAGATCATGTAGCTTTTGGAATAATACAGCAATTTTTTAAAATTAAACACTATCTAAAGATTTGCATCGAAGCGTTTTTTTTTTATAGTGATTTTAATCACTGTCAGATATCATTATACTTGATCCAACTATGCCACGTCACTACTTTGCTGCGACCCCCTTGTGCTGGGTTTTTTTAAATCTAATGTTTGATAACACTTAGAAATCTAGATTTCGGATAGTTATTTTTCATCTTGAAGTACATTGTATAAGCTTTTATTTGATGTAGGATTAAAAAATCAGATTTTTTGGACACATTTTAAAAATTTGAAAAATATGTAAATAATTTGTATGCCTTCACCATACCTTGATTAATGATTTGATTTTAAAAAAATAGTATTGTCGTAAATAAAAAAAAAAGAAGACACTGACTATAATGTATTGTTAGTAGTAACAATATTCTCGGCTGTCACTCTGATTCTTCGAGGGTATTAAAAAGCCGTTTTTATAGAAAATCTGAGTGATTATGGACCCCAATAGCATTTTTAAAAAAATAATCTTATAATAATGTTATAAGAAATTTTTATAATATTTTTTTTTTATCGTTATCTGGGGAGATAGTAAAGTACAAGGTGCAGACGAGGTTCAAAACACAAGAACTTAAGTCAAGTAAAGAGAAGAAACAAGGTAGGTAAAGGTGTCAAAAATTAACAAACTAACTCTTGACGTAACGTTGAAAAACGGACATCGAGAATCGTATACTGAGACTGACGTTTTGACAATGTGCTTACTGGGGTCAATTGGTTTCCTTTAACTTTGGGAATTGAAGGGAATTTTATAAGTTATAGCACCAATAGCTTCAACTAGATATGTTTTGTGATACTGATGTATCGTTGAACAAAATCGGTCCAGTAGGAGCTTATAGTGTATAGAGACACAAAAAAATACCAACAGAGTAAAATAAATAGCTTCTTGGCAACGCATCGAAACCAAAAATAATTTGTTTAGATGCACTACTTAAGTAATACCTTAAATAAATTCTGTTTAATGTTAGTAATACCTTCAAGAGAATATTCACGGGATCTAAACCTTCTTAAAATCATACTTTTATTTTTGTCAAAAACATTAATTGAACTTGAAATTTCAATAGAAAATTTCCTATTAAATTATATTTTCTTAAACCACCCTACTTCAAATGTACTTAGCACTCTATCTACTGTTAGTTTTAATATTTATGAGGCTGGAAAAGTTAATAACCTTTCAACTTTTAGCTTCGATGCGAAGCTGAGAAGGTATTAATTTTAGCATATGTTTATTTTTTTATATTTTTTTTTTTGTGTCTGTCACTACTCTTTCTCAGCTCTCGCTGGACTGATTTTTCTCAATGATACGTTAAAAAATTACAAATCGTATCTAAATGAAGACATTACCCTTAAAAATCGAATATTGTTCCCCGTAAATGGTCAAAACCGGTAAATTTTAATATTTATTTCCTTTTTTTTTCTAAAAATTGCCATAACTTATTTAAAAATGAACGAATAAAAATAATTTTTTTTTATTTTGAAACCTTCAGTAATTTTCATTTATTTGATATAATTTGATCCTTACCTGCCCATAGGGTGGGATTTAAAATAGCAACTTTTTTACAAAACTCGAAATTTTCAACATAAGTTTCAAAAATATTATGGAAATACTGCGTCTTTTAAATATTTGTTAAAATAAAGCTTACTTTATGTACTAGAAGTTCAAAAAAAAAAATTGTACCGACGACCTTTTTTCGGTATTATATTTGTGCAAATAGCAGTCGAAGTATAACAAAAAATATTTTATTATATCTATAATTTCTTCGTATAAATTACAATACTAATTATTAAATATAAATTTAATATTATATTTAATTGCTATAATAGATATTTATTCATATATTATACTTATAAATCATAGAACTTCTAATTATGAATAATGAAGGAAATGGGAATAAATTTTGCTGTTGGAATAATCCACTTATTTCTTAAAATTAAACACTATCTACAGATTTCCATCAAAGCGTTTCTTATGATAGTGATTTTAATCACTGTCAGATATCATCTATACTTGTCCCAACTATGTCTCGTCTATACTGTGCCACGACCCCATTGTGCTACTGTTTTTTATATAGCCAAGTCAATTAAAAGTTTTAAAGAGTTAATTATTAAATAAAATACGTAATTTTTTTAATTAAGTCAAAAGTCAAGTTAGCAAAATCTCATTACATTAACAAGTCAAGTTAAATTAATGCAAGTTCTATTAATTTTGCAAATACAAAATATGCATAAGGTCATATAAGTTTTGGTATGACTGGATTGTAATTAAAAAAAATACATTTCTTATCATATTTAGAATTTATTAAAAGTAGGTTTTTAACAACAATAACACAAATTACGTTAATATGTCGTTAAATGAACAAAAAAGATACTAAGTTCACATAAAATCTAAATATCTTCGTTAAGCTAAACCGTTTATCCCAACCTTGCATATTTATTTACTAATAATTATTAGTCAATTTTCAAAATTTTAAATGCATTTTTTTAGGTTATTTTTTATTTTACAAAGATCAAACATAATATATGTAATATGATTCTTTACTAAAATATTTATGTAGTTTATTTATTGTGACTATAATTTTAAAACATGGACTTGTTTATAATTAGTAAAGTAAATATTTAAGTATGAGTAATCCAAATTGTCAAGGAGTCCCTCGGCAACGGGCGAAGGGATGCCATGTTCGCAAAGTTAAATATTTTGTTATTTTTTGAAAGAACGTGCATTATAAAATATTTTGCAATAATTCACTCTATCATTATTGAATTTAGCCCTTCGTATGTGTTCTCTTATTATCCTTGTCAGATGTTCTTACGGTAAAATGTTTTCTCCCTAGTTTTAAATCTACTATCTTTGTGTGTGTGTGTGCTTATATACATACACACACATGTTTATAAAGAAGAAATTTAATTATCCATATTTCGATTATTCGTGTTCACAATTAACTGTACTCTTTCAAAAATTTGTAAGTATCAATAGTAAAGTCCTAGGTGTGTAATAATTATACGTGGACTGTGAAATATGTAATTTTATTATGTTCCGACGAACATGTTTTTATATTACTTAACATTATCGAAAAAAGTTAAATGAGATGTACATTTGAATATTTGAGGTTTATAATGTAATTCATTAAATAAAAATAAAAAGTCTTGATTAACCATAATTTTCATTTATCCGTGAGATCCCCTTTTCCGTTATTATCTTGGATAACCGATTTTTACTGTTTGTAATAAAATAATGAACTTTTACTATATCTAGTATTATTCAGAAATTAACTATTTATAACTAAAATTTATTTTTAAAACTAGCATTATAATTATTTATACACAAATGTGTAACTAAATGTGTACCTTAAAAGAGTCATAGTTACTCCTGCCGTCCGGGAGTTGGCGATTACCGTATCCGGAAACTACACTGCAGGCTATTAATCTGTCACAACAGTAAGGAAGACAGCGCACGACAAAACTATTCTCTTTAGCCGTTATTTAGGATGAAGTGCACAACACCATCTGGATCCGCTAGTCAACTAAGCGACTTGATGGGGATCAGGGTGCGACTCCCAGCTCATTAAGGGTCATCCGCGCAACAGAACATAAGTCCCATCGTGTCTCTATCAAATCTTAACTCAAAGCCTAATCGAGTCCAACACCATTGAATTCGGCACACTTAACCGAGAACGTGGGCTTCCAGATTGCTCGGTTACCAGATTAACCTAAGCAACCTTGGACTGGTCACAGTCGACGATGTCATCTCTCTGTCTACGCTCGTTATTTCAAAGATTGAACAAAAGATTGAATCATGACGGGACTGCTGAAACAAACCACCTGTTTAATCAGAGACCTGGAATATGAAAACCTCAGGTCTTATGGATACACTCCAACAGATAAAAAATTTACCCGCATTATAATGATGTATAATTTAAATGTGACAAAATAAATCACTTGTCTTGTCTTACTGGTGTTATTAAAAAATGGCAATTTAATAATAATCAGATCCATTCACTATTATTGGGCTGACTGAGCAACTGATGTCCGAACAAGAAACATTTTATGAAATTAAAAATGTTTGTTATTTTTTTCCTCATTAGGTCGATAAAATCAAGCATAAATATATATTATTATAAATTAATTAAAAATAAAACATCAGACTGCAATAACTAGCATTTCTTCGTAACTATTGTAGAGGTTCCAGGCGTTAATCGCCATTCACCACACTGTTTGTCAACGACAGTCAAAGGTTGAAAAGAAATCTACAAATAATTTGTACGCGTATCTGAAATCCAAATAAAAAAACTATGAACATTTTGAAAATATATAAAAATCAGTACGTCATCCGTAGAAAAATGCAATGTGTCATATTCTAGTAACTTTCAAAACAATTATTTCTGACAAATATATATGTGAAATATTGTAAAATAATATATGATTTATATTATACAAGAATAATTTCTTATTATTGTTATTACTAAATTTAAAATAATATAAAAAGAGAATTTCTCTCTTTAAAATTTTGACTCTTTAATATTTATTGACTTTTATTTTTCTTAGACTTAAAAATTACTTAAAAATTTATTTAAAATTAAAACTATACTAATAATGTTAAAATAATAATAATCAAGAATACACAACTTTGATCTTCGATTTCTTTTGATCCATCAAATATGAAACATGTTACAGTTGAAAAAGAATTCACATATTTTTTTCTTTTTAATAATAATAATAAACAAAAAAAATTACAACTTTCTGATTAGTAATTATTGAGTTACACGCACTTTAATATTTATATTATGTAACGTGGTCGGAGTATATGATATAAATATACACTAGTATAAGTTGTATTTAACCAAACTATACACCTAGTCTATATATTAAAATTTTTATAACACAATAAGTACTTATCTTAGAGTTGATATTCAATCAACAAATTTTTTTGTATGTAAAGAGATATAATGTTGAAAAAAAAGTTTATTGTTATTTATTTTTTATTAAAAAATAAAAAATATGATTTTATTATGATATGAAACCATAAAAATTATTTTAAATAACAATGCATATTATTCGTCGGATCAAAAGTTGTTAAAGATATCTAAACCTAGCGATATACTTGTATATTTAAACAATTTTACAGAAGGAACCTTTCCTTAAGATTTATTCATTTTTATTGTCATTAATTTTGTAAATAATAGGCTTTAATTTAAGCCAAGTCATAGTTTAATACCATTTAAAACACTTATAATTTAGTATTAAGAATAGTTCTTAATACCACGATAATTGCAAGTCATTCATTAATTTTAATTTAATATACATATGTTAAGTTTTTATGTGCCATTCATAGGTTTAGGTTACACAAAACCAAAAACGGCTTTGGTAAATATTAACAATTTTATCATTAATTTACAATTAAATAATAAGGATAAAATTTAAGAAATTTTAATAATAATGACGTTTTAAGAATTGTTAAGAAAAATAGGAAAGCTAGATAATAATGTGTTGAGGAACACAAAAGTCTTGTGCTTATATTTTATCATGTTAATATTATAATTAGTCACCTTCCTGAGCAATAACGACAACTTAAATAAATTCACAAATATTTTACTATCAAAAAATATTAATTTTAAAGAAAAATAATAATTTTTAATTTTGATTTTATTTAAATTTTTTTATTACATATAAAAAGACAATTAATATTTATATATATTATATCTACAGTTTTTTTTTTTTTCATATGAAATTTTATTTAAATCAAAAACAATTATATTAAATGGTTTATTTTTTATATTACTAATTTATAAAATGAATTAAGTATAAATAAGAATAAAATCTCTTTTGAAAATATCACTTTTTTGCTTATTAATATTTTTTAAAGTGTTCTAGTTAAATTTAATTTAGAACATTGTACATAATAATACACTTATAACAATGGCAATAAGCTGTAGTAACAATAGAGACTTTTACTAAAATATTTAGAGACAATTTTATGACAGTTATTTTCGTAATATTAGTTTTATATGGTATGGTATTCTATCCTTGAATTCTATTTGAGTCTTACACATTGAATACAAATAGTTTTGCTATACTGTGTAAATGTTTTATAACTTACAATAAATAGAGAACCTTTTGATTTTTGTCATAATTTTCTAGTTTGTTGCCAAAAGTACCTGAAATTCTCGTAAATCATTCAATTAATAATTTTCATTGTATTTTATATGAAACTATAGCCATATTTAAAATAAATCGTTCTCAAATCTCAATTGAGATTTGTTCTAAAAGTACATGAATGTATATTACTGTTTTTATTTCGATACAAAATATTTAGGTGTACACAAATTTTTATAAAGTACACTGTTTTTATGCAATTATGTATATATAATAATGAATTTCTTTGGTTTTATAAAGATTTAATCTATTATAGATTATAATATTCATATTTTTGTTGAAATAGGAGAATTGTACAATCCGGCCTCGAAGAGTGTCCAAATCTTGGATCACTAAAAACAAATAAACCTCTACATATGGTGTAAGTATATATCAAATGTTCAATTCCTTCAAGTGTTAACTTAAATAATATTTTTATGATGGTTTTAAAAATAAAATTAAAAGATAACTGTTGTATCTAAGGAAAACTATTAGAAAGTATAATAACAATGAAAGTATGAAAATTGTATTTATATATTATTTTTTTATCCTTCTTTTCTGGACATTTTCATCGATTTGCCTTTTAATCGGTTAAATTGTTTTATAGTACATTTGTTATTTTATGTTTGCAGTGATCTTGAAAACAATCATATTCAACGAGTAGTTCGAGGAAAAATGCCAGTTAGCGCTGAAATATTGTAAGTAAATAATTTAAGAAAGAATGAAAATTAAGTAATATACATTTTTCTTATTTATTCTAGAGTTATAATAATAACTAACCATGCATTAAGCTAATAGAATGGAAAATACTTATATTAGGTGTATTATAAATGTATAGGATATTTATTTACATTAGTGGCATTAAAAGTCTCAGATCAATACTATTTATGATGACGAAACGAAGGTATTAAATAAATCTAAAAGCTACGAAACGTTTTTTTTTGGGTGTGGTATTAAGTTAAATGACCAATAACATATTTTGGTTCCGTTGTTACTATTATAAGCGCTGTCGGCATACTGATCAGCCGATTGTAAAAATATTTTATTTGTACCACGTGTTAAAAGTTCAAAGTAAGAAAAATATTCAAACGGACGACTTTTAACATAAATTTGAACTTTATTTTTTTATAATTATAAAATATAAGAATACAATAGAATACTTAAACTTGTGTACAAAACTTATAATTAATTATAATTTAATAATTATGTATAATTAATATTTTATAGTATTATGATTAAGAAATTCAAATTCCTTAAATTATTTAATACATGTATGTCGTGGTGGTTTTTACAAGTATATTAATATGATTTCGAATTAATTGTTTTACACAGTTTTTATAAAATAAATTTGAAACAGATCTAGAAGCAAAGTTGTTTATTTTGTTTTTATATTGTAATAGTTAAAACATTATGGATTTATGTTTTCCGTTTTATGGTATTTAAACAAAGTCAATTTTGTATGTTTTATGGTATTTTGGTATTCAAACGTTAATGATAATTTTTTCCCTCATTAAGAATTAACTCGTTATTGTTCGCATGTGAGAACTTCCCTCGCGTATTTTTATGTTGATAAAGCCCATAGTTGTATTTTTCATAAATTCATTGCTTCTTTTAAGTTTAGTTTTTTGTTTGTTTCGTTTTCAGTTATACTTGGAGGTTTTGATTAATTTTACTTGAAGTCATCGTACATTTTTCGTTAATCGTTTACGCTGAATTAAACTTACCCCTCAATTATAAAAAATACATTTTTTTAAATTAAAATAATTTTTAAGGAGAGGTGAAATTAAGTCAACGCCCTTAACATTTTATTTAATTTACGCCAATGATTTAAAAATATTTTAAAACAAAATTGATTTTTCAGTTTTGTTTTTTTTTTTGTTGTCACTAAAATAAAAGAGTTAATCCCTCATTCATATTTTATTCTTGAAGTGGTAAGATAATTAATTAATTCTAAGAAAATAATTAAACGTTATCGCATACATTTAAGTAAAAACCATAATATAAAAAATTTCAATAATTTTAATTTATTGATTTATATTTTTTATAAGAACCAAATATTTGTTCGGTTTATGTTTAGTTTCGTTTTGATTAGTTATATTTAGAGGTTTTGACTAATTTTAATAGAAGTTATATGTTTTTTGTTGTTAAATACATTTTTCGTTAATCGCTAGATATTTTTGTCAAGTCATGATTTAATTTTACATCTTTTGAAAATGTTCTATTAAAGAGGTAACGCATTACAACGAAAATGTACAAATTCATGTCGCCAAATCATTTTTTTATAACTTTAGGATATTATCTTCAATATTGCTTTTTTTACTTTTGTTAGATTTATTTGGTAGACTGGAAAAATTACACGAGATCTATCTTGTTTTGTAACTCTTATGATCGTCACAAAAGCCATTCAAAACACATCAAGACTATTAAAAAAAAGTATAAAACAAGCACTCTTATTACATTTTTAATTTACTTGGTTTCTTTTTACGTTAAACGTTATCACAATCAGTTAACGAGAAAATATAAGTATCGACGTTTAAACTTTTTTGGTAAGATTTTTAAAATCATTAGTTCATTTGAATCTCCATACCAAACTTACGTTAAATAGACGTATCTCATACGATCAAAATGCAATATTCGTATAATTAAATATTATTTTTGTTTTGTAATAAAAATGTAAATTAAATTTCTGTCAAATTATGAAATTCGAAGTTTTCAAAGTTAAATCATAAAAAGTAAAGAGTTTCGTAATATTTGGTACATTTATTATAAATTATAGGTTCTGTAAGCATAAAATTATAATATATAATTCATACTAATTATACATCTAATTTTTAATGTAATTTTATACTAAAATATAAATCACATGGGACGGACTCGCCAATTTAATCTTGCCGTTTTATCGGTATAATAAAATAACAAAAACCTCTTTTGTAAATTTCTTTTGTTCTACCCATGAGATTTGAGCTGACAATCTCACTTGGTAATAATATTACTGCGAAATGCTAAACTAATTTTGATTATTATTACAGTACCTGAAAAGTATTTAATTTATATCTTTATTAAAAGTGAAACTGTCCAGGTTAAAAAAGTAAACACACAATAGGTTCTACGATGATTACCTTTATTTAAACTTTGGAGAGTAATTGGGTTTAAAAAACATTCAACAAGAACAACGAAGTATAGCACTAGTGTTTACGTAGCACTAGTAACTTAATATAATTCCTTGAAAACTTTAAACTGTTATTTTATTAAATACATAAAAGGTTAAAAAAAAAATTTGGTTAATGTGAAAAATTAAAACGGAATTGAATCCTAGTACCCACACACCTAAACACGATTAAATTATTTTATGTATTACGAAGATAACATTTCTTCAAGAACACAATTGATCTTTCTTTAACTGATGGACATTTAAGCATCATGAAATCCACCTTTCTTTAGACAATAAACAATGATTACTCCCACTCAGTTTCACCGATGTCAAATAATAGAGATGTCTTTGGAGCGTACTGCTATAATGCGTGTTTAAGTAATACTCTGCTATATTGAGTAGTCAAATAGGATTTTATTGCTAATCGTCAATATTACACTTCAACACTAATGGAAGTAAACCAATTTTTTTCAAAATTTGAAATACCACTAAGCTCTTGATACGTTCATTCGTTAAATGTCAAGCTGTCGAATCGATTTTTTAAAATTTGGTCCTTATTGAATGATATGCATATTATCTAATACCAGCTTAACAAATAATAATGAAGCCATTATCGCAATGTTTCAAAAATCATTAAATAAAAGTGATAAAAATTATAATAATTTTATTATCGAACTAGATAATATTTAGTTCAATAAAAATTATATTTTTATTAATTGAACATTTCATAGCAAAGATACAATATGTTAACAAGTTTTAATTTCATTAACGCTAATGGTATGGTACACATGTCCTAACTCATATACCTATACATATTTATTACTCGAGAGTCCCTTAAGTCATTTTAAACAATACATACATTAACGTTTATGTACATTTTAAAATGCCCTATTTTTTGACGAATTTCGTGTTCATCTACCGATAGTCTTGTCGTGTAATAAACAACATAAAAATTCATTTATGAATATAAAAATTATTAATTTATAAATAAATAATAATTTTAATTCAAAACCAGCGCTAGAAAATCGCATGTGAAAATATTGTGCTATGCTATTATTATGTAATGCACCCTTGAAATGATGAACAATTAAATTAAATGTAATTAATCAAACAACAACTATTCAAATATATTATATGAATAGTTCTTCTAACATAATAATTGAACTATCGCTATAATAACCAGAATTTTTAATTGGGTCAACTATGTATACATATAATTATACGTGCTCTATATTTCTCAAATTAAACACATATTTTACAACTGAAAGTTATGTGTGTTTATGCATATCACGATCTTATATTAGTATATTTTCTTTAGAAAAACAGACTGTACTGTCGACTCTTAAAAATTTTAATACTTCAGGTCAATAACAAATTCAAAATTCTCATAATTTATGTATGAAATTCAACATACTAAACAAATATATGGCTTTACATTTTTATCATTTATTTTATTGAATAGAGAATAATAGGCAAATCTTATTATAACAGTTGAAAGGCTACTTATTGTAAAAGAAGCTTTTATTACTAGAAAATAAAATACTATAACTTGTATTTTGTCACCAAGATATTTCATTGCAAATCATGTTCCATAATCTTTTCGAAATAACGGTTTAAGATATTCAATTGGATTATGAAAATACTCAATATGCACTATGCATATTATTTATTTATTTAATTTATTTATATATTAATAATGTTGCTGTTTAAAGTTGGTAAATTATTCCAATTAACTTGATTTTCAATAAAATGAAATAAGTTATGTTAATTTATCAAAATGTATATTATGTTGTATAGACTTTTAAATTACAATTCTATAACTGAAGTTGAACCGTCGTCGTTTGACGGATCACAAATCGCTAAAATGTAAGTAAATTGTAAAAATTATAACTTACATCCGGATTAAATACATTGATGTGTTTTATTAATGATAATACTTGTAGAAGTCTTCGAGGCAATTTGCAGTTACAAAAACTCGACGCTAACGCTTTTATGGGAATCAAAAGCCTTCGCACTTTGTAAGTATGTTTTAGATTGACAAATTGTCGAAATCCGTTATGAAAAACGTTATTATTTTTAATATGAGTTTTTGAACTCGGATAAAAACTTGTCGGTTTCTTCAAATAATACTACTTATCTAGTGCTGTCGTTTTACCGTCCACAGGGATTTGTCCGAAACGTCCATTCGACAATTGCCTACCAGTGGACTGGAAGAATTAGACGTACTAAAAATTGAACACACGCATACAATGGAAGTTTTCCCTTCAATCTACAATTTTAAGGTATCTAATGAGAACACGATTTGTTGAAACATTTGGTACTGTATTTTATGATTTATTCATGTAAACCTTGTCACGTAAAATTTACATAAATATGTTCTCAGCACTGGTGTTTCAAGCTGGTGGTAGTTCTAGCTTCTTGTATTCCAGTTATTTAAACATTATATAGAAAGTGTCCTATATTTTGTTTATAATAAATTTTCGGGTGCTTAAATAAAAAATAAATATAGCTAATCTAGGTTTAATATTAAAAAAAAAGATATTAACTGTTTATAACTTTTTACACTCTATTTTATTCTATAAAAAATGATGAGCTTAAAAATTATTCATAGGAAGTTTTTATAATTTTGATTAACAGTGGATTAATAGATAAAAGGGCATCGTTAGGTACAAAATAATAAATTGTTTAAAAAAAAAAACAAAATTCGATAATATATTTTGTAAGTTTCAGTCTAGTATCGATTTTTTTATAGTGATTGTACGGAAATATTTTTATAAAAACTTTTACATGAAACTATATAATTAACTATGCTCTGTGAATAGTACAAAATTTATTAATTTAAAATTTAATTCATAAAGCGTTATGGAATAAAATTTTTCTACCAGTAGGGTTTGTATTTATTTTAATAACTGAATATTAGTATTCTGTTTATAGAACATTCAAGAAGCATGGCTAACATATCCCTACCACTGCTGTGCTTTTCATTTTCCAGAAACACACAGCCCAAAAGAATATGCAGATCACGAGGTAAATTGAAGTTATTATAATTTTAAACTTTAGTACATTTTACATGATATTACACCAATATTTCCTTTATTAAAAATATCACTTTATTTATAAACGGAAGTTTACTTATGTCCTCAACATATTTCTAAGATTTATGTTTATGTCTTATAATGATGAAGGCGAATAATTATTCGTCTCAATTACCATTTGCGTTTAATGGTTTTTTCTAATTATAATTCAAAGCATACAATTAAACACCCTTAAATATCATAGAGATTCACGCTGAAATTTATTTATATGTCAATTATTTATGCCCCAACAAAGAAAAATCAATTGATTTTTCCACAATATTGTAAACTACATTTCTTTCCTTAAGTTATCTTACACTATTTAGTAACATCATAATGTGTAACATTAAATAAAAATCACACGTATTAGACACATAAAATATATTATAAATTAAAACCGTTGATAATTGCTCATGTATAGTAAAAATCAAAGATTGAACTCACAGTTTTTTAAATTTTTATGACTGCCTATATTTTTTTAATCTAAATTGTTTTGCATTTCTAAGTCCTCTTAATATTGATGCATTTTAATGGATTCTTATATTTTTTACATTTCTAAGGCTTCAACTTTTTTTTACATTTTTAAGGTTTCTTGATATTTATCAATTTATATGGCTTCTTATATTTTTTGCATTTCTAAGGCTTCCTGATATTTATCAATTTATATGGCTTCCTATATTTTTTGCATTTCTAAGGCTTCTTAATGTTAATGCATTTCTAAGGCTTCCTGATATTTATCAATTTATATGGCTTCTTAAATTTTTTTTGAAAGCTTTAAAATTGATTTTCATTCTAAGGCATTTTAATATTATTCATTTATATGGCCTCATAATAATTTTTTTTTGTATATTTCTTAGGTTTTTGAACTTGAGTACTAAAAAAAGTCTCAAAATATAAGTGGAAATATACAAAATTAAAAAAGCTATTTATTTAAATTAAATTAAACATTAAATAAAAATTTTCGAAAGAATTTCATTTATCCTCAAATTTTGGTAGCCACGAAAGAAATTTGCACAAATTTCATATCTTTAGTCTTATGTAGTAAACTACGAAATAGAAATTTAGTGACCTACTTTTGTTTGTTATAGGTATTCGTCAAAAATATGTTGCAACAGTGTCAAACTATGACATCATTATCAGCCCAGGCAATTTTGAAGCCATCCGAAACAACCGAATCTGAGTCTTTTTTTTCTGAAGATGATGAAACATTTCATTCGAATGGTAAATATTTAGTGACGCATTTATATTTTATTGAAAAAACTTAATGATTCCGAACATAATGATTTTTGTGTTTTATTTTCAAGATGTTACAGTAGGAACTCAGTTCGAAGCCGTTTGTGGAAATGTATCAAAAAATTACCGAGCAGTGAGGTGTTTTCCTGAACCAGATGCTTTCAATCCTTGTGAAGATCTCATGGGAAATTGGACACTTCGAATAGCCGTTTGGGTAGTAGCTGTTGCCGCATTGCTTGGTAATATTGCTGTGCTATTTGTATTACTCAGTAGCCGATTTAGGCTTACAGTTCCCAAGTTTCTAATGTGCAACTTGGCCATTGCTGACTTTTGCATGGGCTTATACTTGTTACTCATTGCCATCATGGACGCTCGATCTATCGGACACTACTTCAATCACGCAATATTCTGGCAAAGGGGTAAGTTTTATTCTATCAGTAAAATTATATAAAAGTATAAGTAAATTTCAGCGACGTTGCATTAATGCTTCTAAAGTTCTAAATAATTTAACAAGTCTTTTTTAAGAGAATAATATTGTCTAAAAAAATTTATTGAATTATTTTTTAATTAAAATTTGTGTACATGAATAAAATTAAAAATAAATAAATAACACATGAAAATATTTAAATATAAATAATATTTAAAAAAAAATCTTCAAAAACTTGTGAGTTACTTTTTTTTTAATTATGAATAAAGTATAAGGCCATTTACCAAATTATCGAATTTTAATGGGAGTTCTGGGCCCTAAATCCCTTTTTAAATCCAACCTTGTTCTTATCAGTAAACTGACGTCGAAAAATAATACATTAATAAACTAAGTTTTCAATATATAATACATTCGATAACGACCAATCCACAAACAAACAATTTAGTTCATCAATCTTCATAATCTTTTGAATAAAAGTGCAACGTAAGTACGATTGTCATTTTCTCGTTTCTATAAAATAACAGAATCTGTTAACAAAGCCTCATGTAATGAACAAAAGCTTTGGAACAAAACAATTTCAAGAAATAGGATTTTGTATATGTTATTCAAAAGTTCAATATAATCTTAAATTATCTGTTCTGACAATGGTCAATCATAATTGTATTTTATTTTAATCTATTTCAGTTTTAATTAAATATAATCGATCAATAACGATACTGATTAAGTTTTTATAAAAAACGTGTAGGGTTACATGATCAATGAATAACAATGGCTCAATAAAGAACAAACTTAGTGCAGTTGTCTAATTTAAACCCTTCCTATACTTAGACTTTTCTTTGGACTTTTATATCATACTAAAATATACCTTATCGTCTGGTAAACTCTATTGAAATTTCATTAGGATCAGTGTTTCAAAAAAGTTATAGCAGTTTTAACATACAAAAAAAAAATGTAGAAAATGTAATTTTTTAGATAGCATAATTTTGAAATCAAATTTTTAAAATTGAGGGTTTTTTCCCCAATTTTTAGAACGAAAGGTATAACTATATTAAAATAGGGTTCTTTTAACCCTTTTAACCCGATCATTAAAAACGGACTTGTGAGAGATGAGAATTTTCATAAAAAAAATTTTATAATGTTAAAAAAGTACCTTCTCAGCTTCGCATTAGAGCTAGAATCGAGTAATTAGTTATTTACGACAGGTTGTAGTAAGTAGCATTTATAATATAAATATAGTTATTTTCTAAAACTATATTTAGTCCAACTACAAAAATATAATTAAGTGTTATTCACTAGATATATCTCATTCACAATATTTAAACATGAGTTTAAATTTTTCTGTCCGTCATCTATAAATATTTTTTAATTAATTTAATAGAAATTTTTTTTTAAATTGGTACGCGTTATTTTTCCGATTGTGTCATTAAGTTATAAATAAACAAAAAACTAATGTTGATGAAAAACTCTTAAAATTTTATTTACTGGTTATTTTGTTATTACGTCGTTATGATATTTTCCATTATTTAATTGCTTTCTAAAATGTATTGAAAACAAAAAGAAAATATGCACAATAATATGAAATATTAATAGAATAAAATATAATATTTAATTCAATAAAATTTAAAATCACTGAAACTTGGAATAATTTGATTCTGCACTAATACCAGACTAAATTACTTTATAATTATTTATTTGTATTTCATTAATTCTGAAATCCTGTCGCTATCTGCTGTGTTCTCTAACGAGAAGACAACGCCGAACAAACCAAAACATAGTTTGATGTTCATTGTTCATGAACTAACTTTATAAACACCTCGTAAACAATTGCATACGTAATATAGGTAATAATATATAACAAAATGTATTGAGTGGGTATAATGAGTTCTTTAAATCTTAATTTCAACATTAAGATGTTCCTTACAGAAATGTTTGTGGTTTTTTTTTCCAGTCGGCCCGAAATATGTGTAGTAATAATAATACACGAGCATACTCAAAACGTTGTAACATTTGGTTGTAAAACCTTCTAGTGTTTATTATGTTGCTGGCGTTTTTAATCAAAGGATGTGCACTATAAAATCATTGAATTTACTCCTTCAAGCAAAAAAATCAACAGGATTTTGTCAGTGGCCAAACGAGATGAGAATTTTGAAATTCGAAATTAAAAATCTCTCGGCTTATTTGTTTTTTAAATACAAAGCTCCCAATTATTTCTGTGATTCAATATTTAATTATCGAAACAAATAAATAATCATAGATCGTATAATATTTTGAACATTTTAATAATTATGATGTGAGAAGCTTTGAAAAAATCACTTGTTTAAAGTGTCCACCATTGTACACTGTTATTATTTTTGAATAGACAAGTTCAAGCTATAAAATAATCGCCGTCTTCTGCAGGTATTGGCTGCCAAGTAGCTGGTTTTCTTACCGTTTTTTCGTGCATGCTGTCAGTATTTACTCTTACGATAATCACCGGCGAAAGATGGTACACAATTACCTACGCAATTCACTTAAATCGACGTCTTAAATTAGGCGCCTCCATGAAAATAATGGCTGTCGGTTGGTTATTCTCGATACTAATGGGCGCACTGCCTCTACTGGGTACTAGCGGCTATTCAAAAACAAGGTGAGTTTATTCTACGCATGAAGTTTTCGATTTATTTAGACAAATACTTTGGCGGTACAAATAATATTTCTATGGTCAAACAATTTACGTACTTTGTGGAATTTTTTGTTTCAGTATATGTTTACCGATGGAAAATTCCACTTCTACTGATAAATTGTACCTATTTTCTTTACTCATGTTCAACGGCATTGCATTTGTGGTGATTTGTGCATGTTACGCGAAAATGTACATATCAATTAGGGGTGGAAGAGAAGCTGTGGCTTCGGTTGCCCGATCCGATATGACAGTGGCGAAACGTATGGCCCTGTTAGTATTCACTGACTTTGCGTGTTGGGCACCAGTGGCCTTTTTTGGACTCACCGCATTGGCTGGCTATCCGCTAATTGATGTGCCCAAGACGAAAATTTTGCTCGTCTTCTTCTATCCACTTAATTCTTGCGCCAATCCATACCTGTACGCGTTGCTTACGCAACAGTATCGCCGAGACTTATTTGCATTACTCGCTCGGTTGGGAGTTTGCAACGAACGAGTCAATGAATATAAAGGAGGACCGGGCGGTGCAGGGGGTGGAAGAAATGGCAAGGCAATAAGTGGTGGCTTCCGAAAGACTTACCACGATACGCGATATGATAGGCGGGTGACCGGCGACCAAGCACTTAACAGCAGCAATCACCGTGGGTCCCTCATGACAACTGTAACGTCCGTCGACTCTGTTGTTGCTTCTACTAGACCGGGTTCCCTGACGCCTTTACAGGAGAATACATCTATTAATAAGTTACAGTTAGAATTGTTACCCTTGCAACCAGTCGTGAACACTTGACAAAATCCTTGAACAAGACAACGAATCCAAATTGATAACTGTATATTGTATTTCAATTGAACAGTAAAGAACATACAAATTCTATTGTCATTAATTTATGTACAATTTTATCAAGTAAGCAAAGTATATTTCATAAGTATAAAATTTATATTTTAATAAGACACTTCTATTAAAAGTTAAGTCGAGAAACGCTTAACACTTCTAACAAAATATCTTTGCCTATTATTATATTGAAGTTACCATACAGTTTAAAATAAAATAAATTTCGTGACTAAGTCAAAAAACAGATGATGAACAAACGACTTCAATTTTTTGAAAGGAAAGATATTAACTAACCACTGATCTATTGACAACACAATGGTTTAATTATGTTTTTGTTCTGAGGAAGTATACAAAAGAAAATGTTCTCAACATGATCAAATGACTAAAATATTTTAAATACTCCTTTCATTAATTATTTTTCACTATAGCCTCATGTATTCGTATCAATTAAGAATTTATTACATGGGACTTATGCCTCCCTGTCCTCCTAAAAATATCCATATGTTTGTATATATAGTTATCTACGTGTTTTTTACTATTATAAGTATCCTGAGAGTGAAAATGGTCAATCGGTGGTGTAATATATTTTCATTTATCATATAGAACAAACACATAAAATAAAATATGTTTTTATTTTAGACAAGTTTCTATAATATTAACTAAATTTATCTAAAAAAAAACCTAAATAAGGTCATTTTGATTTTACCCACCTCAGATGAAAAACAAAACCTTTAGGACCAAATACTTTGACCACTACTACTGATAAATAAAATTAAAATGTCAATATCTGTTTGTGCTATAATTCGTTTCAAATCTATAAAATTTTATCTTTTATGATTTAAAAATAGTAAAATACATCTTATAATGAGCTCATCGTCGAAAGTCTTTAATTGAATACTTAATCAATATCATAAGTCTTAGTAATTAAATGTCCTAAATTAAAATTATGTAAATTTATATTGTATATAAATTTATTCTTTCATATTTTATAGTGTGTTAATAAACAAAAATAAAGTTTTCTATTATAAATTTAAGTGTTAAAAAAAAAAAAGGTTTAAAAAAATGTTTAATATTTAATATTATTGATTTGTTACTTGGATATCTAATTTATTAGAATAGCAGTTAAGATAACCCATTTATAAATGTAGCATTATAAAATAAAATGAAGACAATTTAAGTGTTTGGACTGTTAATTTAAGTTCTAGTTTTACAAAAAAAATATCATAAAATCAATGCCTATGAACTTGAATAACTAATTTAAAAATCTGTAACTATATATCACATGTTAGTTATGTTATTTTGAATAATAAAATTTTATGTTAATAGCTTAATAATACATTTTCATTTTGTTAGTTGTATTAGATTATTATAAATTTAGTATTCATAATACCTGATAAAAAAATTACCTAGTTATTATTTTTTTTTTAATTAAACAGGTTATTAAGTATACACACATAATTAGTATACATTAGGTGTGTAATATCTAATGATTTAACAAGGCGTTTTATAGATATTCAAAACTATAAGTTGCATTAAATTAAAAAGTGATCTTTGTTTTAATTTTAAACAAATGTGCACATATCTTTGTCATTAAGTTGTTATTATAATGAAAAAGGATATCAAAAAATACGGGACACGTTTTTTTTAAACAATTGTGGTGTTGGGTTTTTTTTTTTACAAAGGATGTATTTGAAAATAAATGAATGTTTTTCACTCTTAACAGTATCTGAAAGTTCGACGTGTCAAGATTTACAGTGTGCAATTACGAAATACTTGACATTTTTCCGCATTTTCGCTAATAAAATAGTTTACTTACAAGTCATGATTTACTTAATGGGAAATATCAAGTTGAGGTGATATAAACAAATTTAATTTTGTACGAATTACGTATAACTATATTGTTTACAACGGAAAATATTTCGATTTTTGGCTATGATAGTTGTATTTACAGTATGAAAAAACAAATATTTTTTTCTATACAAAAAAAAACTTCATTAAACTTACTAAGAATTAATACAAATTTCATGTCAAATAATTCTCGTCGATTTTAAATTGGCGACATAAGTTTTAAATTAAATCAGTTGCTTTTTTTTCTTTATAAAATTTCTTTTGTTTATAGTTGGTTATTTTATTATAAAAAATATATCACCTTGAACCGGTTAAATTATAGAATTCGTAATTATCCCATCGGATTATTGTACACGTGATATCTGTTATAGACATTCAGTGAAATGCATTCGCCGTCTTAGTCCACATGGTCATTTCAGCTCATTCGTTTTGTAAGAACTTAATTAATATTCTACAAATAATCCACTTGTAATCGAGGAAAAAAGTTATTAAGTAATATATATATATTGCGACATAATATTACAATGGAAAATTAATGAATTGTATTGAATTGCCAAACAATTCTTGATTTATTGATATTAACGTACTTATTATGCAGATGTTAATTGCATAAATTACAACTAGAATAGTAAATTTTAATTTAACTGCTCCGAAGATTTTTATCGAAAATTATGTTGTTCTTGATATTTTAGCTAACACAGAAGAACAAATTCATGCAGTGTAATAAAATATCTAAATTTTTTATTTCACATCTCATAAGTAATTAAAATACTAAAAATTGAATAATTTATTAAATTCTAGTATATAATATGTAAATAATTTTTACTTCGTCAAAATAAAATGAATAAATAATGATAGTATTTATGTCACAATTAGGCACAAATACTATTAATTTAATTGCTTACTTATATTCACTAGATTTTAATATTTACAAGATTAACTAATTTCAGTTAAAATTGAAATATATATGTTATTTATTTATAATCGAAGTTTAATATTTGTATTATTTTTAATTTATAATTACTGTAGCCTTGAAAACTTAAACGTGGATATTTTTAAAATGCTTACGTTTTTTTCTGGCCTATTATATAGATACTCATATTAAAGTATATTATTATATCACTCTGTACATTTATGTATACACTTTTTCATGTTTATACAGTTGATCCGATCGTTATAAACTACTCAATTGCTCGCAAAATAAATACAATATTCAAATCATATACATATATATTTAATTGCATACATTTCTTGATTTATTAGCTATTATTTATTTTTCGGCATCATCCCTTATAATTTACAAGGATGTAAATTAAGTTTTTTCAACAATATCCATATTTGATTCGTTTATTAAATAGTTAATTGATCTGATTAAGAAAATAACGAGTGAACTTTGTCTTTTGTACAGATACTTCAGGAGATATGACGATTTTAAATTATAGATTGGAAGAGGCGCGACTATGACTATTTATATTATTAGACATTTCTCCTCTCTGTTACGAATATATACGTTTATAACCTTCGAAGTATTGGTCCAAAAGTCGATGATGCTAAAAAGTAACTAATAGCTGACAAATGAAAAAATATATGACTATGTAACTAAAAAAAAAAGACAAAAAATATGTTTACAATATAGTATTTATTTTGCGAGTAATCGAGTGGTTTATAACCAACAGATATATTATGTATATATTTATGAGATCATTTCACAGTTCCATTTTAAAATAAACCAGCTTTATAGCTTACAAGTTGTTGTTGTCAAACACTTTATTGAACATTATCTTGTTAACCGTTAATATAAAAGGAGTAATGTTTTCTTGGTACTATAGAATTTCATACCAAAAACAATAGGATAACTGGTCTCCTTACAGCCGCCTCCGATAAAACACACTGTTGGTATTAGTTACAATTTAATCTCGCTAGTTTATCAAATAATTATGTTATTTCATAATTTGCGAAATTGCTTACAAAATCAAAATATCTACATTGAATATTTTACAAAAATTCATAATTCTCTAGGTGCAATAAAAATATTATTTATTAATATGCTCATTGAAGTTTTATGAAATTTAATTAAAATATGAGCGGTTTATTTTCGATTTAATGGGAATAAAATATAAATGAATTAATAAAATAGGTTAGTCTAACTATTTTTGCAACTAAATTTACACATTAATTCTTGAATATAATTCATCACGCAAATCTAAAATAACGTTTCCAATAATTATATTACAAATATTTTTTTGTTGTTGCAATGACGTAGCCACAAGGGCGATGTCCTTCCATCGGCCGCAATATATTACTCCAAAATAAAATGATGGACTAGGAAAAAAATATACTCATTATGAGCTCCTACTGACTCATAATACGTTCAAGAAATAAGGTTTTTAGTAAATTAAAAAAATAAAATAACTATTAAACATAAATCATTTTTATCTATTATCTAAGTATGTCTTTTTTCTTTTTTACACTACACAAGGACACAATGCGATATTATGGTTGTTTATCCTTTACAAACGTAACAGAAAAAAGGCATTTTATCGTTGATAGTTTTTCTAATGGAAAGTAAAAGAAAGAGACATTTATCAACAACATGCCTTTGGGGTTGCGGACAAAACGTGTCGAATAAATCTTTAAAAGTTATACACAGTTCTTCCGATGTACCTTTGAGTGAAAATGATTGATAATAGTACAACAATACGTTGGCCAAACGTACGAGATGGTTCACTAAGTCACCCAATATCTCTTGTTTCACAAGACTTATCTTTTTTTAAGTGAAAGCTCGAGAATATTACACTGTCAAAGTGTAAAGTAAAAATAATATCAACTAGGATTTTATCTTTCGCTTGTTAAAAATACAATTTAATTGAATTATAAATTGAACTTGTTAAAAAAGGTTTTCTAAGAACACTATTTTGTAATTTATTTACATAGAGAATAATAACAACTTTTTCGCGCAAATTATTAAATATTTTTTATTTTTCAAATAAAAATACCTTACAGGAGCACTTAAAATAGTAATTTTTTATACATTTCGTTTGTTTATAAAATAAAAAAAAATGTTTTTATAATATTTGAACGTTTCTTGCTATATTAAAATATATATTCTATAATTAATACACTCAAGTGAGAAGAAGTTAGCTAACAGAAAAACACTATTTTGTAAATGTAATTTGCTTAACAATCCTATTAAGTTAGGAACATCTTCTCAACAAATAAGTTTATTTCTATTATATTTTATATAATGCCATGTATAATTAAAAAATGTGTTAATTAGTGTGTATAGTGAGAAATTATACGAAGATTCTCATACGCTAATTTGATATTTTTAATATATTCATGAATCGTGTATAAAAATAATGTAATTTTGACATGAAAATGCGAAATTTCGATATAAATAAACCATTTTTTACACAGATGTATCAAAATTTTCAGTAAATGAGGAAAAAACTTCTACTACATAATATTTGTCTGTGAAAATAAAAATATTTAAAAATTTATATTTTCATCCAAAAATATCTTAATATTTATTAATCATTTATATTTTATAAAAAAAAATATTTATAATTCGTAAAAAAATAGATCCAGTAAAAAATGTTGTATCTCCAACCCTTTGTTTGATATGTAGAACTTAGTAAAAAAAAATTCTAAGAATTTTTAATAAAATGTTTTATTAATAAGCACACAAGAAAATTAAATGGAATGTAAAAGAGAAAAAAAAATATTATTAACCATGGACTCCATTAATATTTTCAAAATATTATTTTATAATTTATTAATTTATTTATAACTAAAAATATCAAAGTGATAACTCAGGTTATACATAAAAATTCTTATAAAATACCGTTTTATAGAATTGTATTTATTTATCTATTATTAGTGTGTTTTTCTTACAATCTACATAGTTATTTCTATTATCACTAACAAATTGTACTACATATTGTTTTTGGCTTCATCCCTTATCAATAAATTATTTAAGTACATAAATAAATTTTATCGATCTTTCAACATCAAACAAGTTTCATTTTGTCATCTATGTATTTTTTTATATTTACCGATTATTCCGATGAAATCAAATAAATAATAATACTATAAAATGTCATATTTTATTTGAAATCTGAAAGTAAGTTCAGTGATTCCAAAGATCATAAATCTCATTATTTGTATTAAATTTTTTTTTTTAGATTTACGATAACTCTTTTTATACTTTGAGTTAAACCAATTGTGTCTTGTAATTCCTTAGTTGCTTCGGACATATTTGGTTTTTCATCTGAAGGAATTGGTTATTAAAAAAAGAAAATGAAACGGTTGACTAAATATAAGAATATTTTTGGATGAAAATAAAAATATTTAAATACTTTTATTTTTACAATAAACCCTTAGTTTTCAATATAATTTGTAAGAAAATACATTATAGACA